GTGTCACGGTGGGCCAACTGATCTACATTCATCTTCACCTATCATCCCTCACTGGTGTTATCAGAGCATGTATCAATAGTATAGGCGGATTTCCATTACAATCATCCATTAAAAAAAAAGAGGAAATATTGCCAACAATAAGGACTAACAATCCCATCCTCTCCGCCCTGTTATTAGCTAGAGGGCGTCCATATTTGACTTACTGGATAGAAATCTTCCTTATTTAATTACTAGTCTCCTGCGACGTCTATTCTTTGTGGTCTAGCAGCAGTCATACTGCGTTTTGTCTCTTAAAGCTATCTCTTGTTTCCGTATATTTCTTATTTGCTTTTCAAATCATAGTAGCATCCCTCTTAAAACATCTCCAAAGTCTAACTGCGGTTGCTAATCCGCCTGCCAACCGTGGCAACTACTGGCAAAACCCCCTAGGGTGAGGCTTATGTTCAGCATAGTTCAGTTCAGTTCAGTAATAGTTAAAAGCGAAAAAAAAATATGATCATAATAATGATAATAATTATGGATACATATTTGTAATGTTTTTTAAATTTATGTAACTGAATAAATTTATTAAGAAGTAGTTACAATCATTTTAAGGTAAAAAAATATTCGCATTCTGTTACAATTAGGAATTCTAATAGAATGTGACAAAGTTAAGTTATTACATGGAAATATTTAGGATTGTCAAAAATGTGTACGAGTACTCAGATAAAAATACATTCGAGCCTAAATATAATACTTATTCATGTAATCTCACATATAGAATTTCAAAGGACTATTTTTATAATATTAATATAAGTTTTCAATCGACTTCGAAAAAGCAGAAGGTACTCAATTCGGTTGTATCCTTTTTATGTTTGTTACCTCATAATTCTCTCAGTTGTAAACCGGTATTTTTTACTTGAAAGGATATACTACCAGATTGGTCCTATAGTAATTTTATCAAAATCGGTTCAGTGGGTTTTTTTATCAAAAAAATCGGTTTTTTTACAATGGAAGTCGGTTTCTTTTGTGGAACGTAATCTTAAATTATTGTTTTAAATGTCTGTATATTTGTACGATTTTACGTCATGCATAGATACCTATGTACAAAAGGAAACCTACATTAGGAAAGTGCAAGATTCATAAATTATCATGAATTTGTTTACGTTTGAAATTTGAATTTGTTTATTTATTGGATCTAAATTGAATTTATTTATATAAGAAATAAATGGTTCGGCTGCACTCAAAAATAGGTTAGTATATTAAAAGAGAGTAAAAGCACGTGCACTTCACTATAAAAACAAAAAGTGAATCTTTTAATTAAATTTTTTAGCTTCATGCGGTTATATCATAAAATGACTGTTTATCCAGTTTCAGGTATTGATAAAGTTAATTTAAATTTTTAATGCGTAACGTTGTATTTTTTTAGTCTTGGTTTAGTATGTTTAATTGAAATAACCGTCGTCGCTATAGCATAATTTCATTCAAATTCGATCAGTAGTTTTTGCGTAAAAAAGTAAAAAAAAACAACTATCTATTATTTTTTACTTTACTTGTTATATTAATAGAATTTATTGATAAAGCTGTCAAAGGACGACCGGTATATTTGTGAGCTCAGTTTTGAAGAAGCGAGAGAAAATTTTAACTAAGATTGTCTGTAATATATATTATATTAGTTTTTACCCGCGACTTCGTCCGTGTTACCGGGACATATTTACTGACCGGGATAATCCTGTATCCTCTATCTATCGTATATAGTACGTGTATACTTTTTATAGTCATTGGTTAAGCCGTTAAACCGCTATAAAGTAACAAACAAACAAACTCATTTTCACATTTATAATATTAATAAGAATATCAGTGACTCGTCTTGACTTCTTACGAATAGAAAAGTGAGATAAAGTGCACTCTAAGTTACACTCTAATTATGTAACTTCTTTTAGGTAAAAGAATATTTTGGTTCGGTAAATATAGGTTAAATATTTTTTGAGTTTATTCATTATAAACAAAAATAAATATTTCCTCTTATATGATATTACTTTAACTTTATAAATATTATTTTAACTATATAACCCAAAGACGCGTAGGGCTCCTAAATAACTTCATAGGTACTGTTTTGCAAGTTTTATGTTCTTCCGGATCTATTAAATGAAGGGCCATAATTTTTAAGTCAATGATAATAAATCGATGTTAAAGGAATGTTATTAGTGATTTACTCTCAGTATTTGGCAACGTTAAAAACTCGTGTACAATTTTACTTCTCTTTTTATTTAAGAGATTCTCTTTGTCAGTGCATGAATTATGCATAATTTTAAATAATGTAATAAAAAAATAACTATTCAAAAATGCTTAAATCTTTAGCTTAGCTATCTAAATGCTTAGCTTTACTTGAACGAAAATATTTCTTTTTTTCCTAATTAGTTATTCGAAAAATCATAAGGCCTCATTTTTTGCAAAGGGTTCTATATTCTAGAAGATAAAAAAGGAGAATATAAGGAGCACGACACACGTACAAAATGTTATGGCCTACAAAATACTATCTTTACATTTTTATACGCGACCGTTGATCCTCGTTGGTTTACGAAGCGGAAAATATTTTGTTTGGCACTCTATACAGAGCCACGTGTGGAGAGGAGAGAGTATATATATATATATATATATATATATATATATATATATATATATATATATATATATATATATATATATATATATTTTATAACATCTACAATTTTGACCCTTCTTCTAGCGGTACGAAAATAAGTGTGCTCATTATGACGTATCCGCTTTTATATCTTCTCCGAATATAAATTTCAAGTGGAGACTGGTATGAATGAATAAATATATAATTTTTATACCTCTTACACCTACAATGAAAGATCGTTATGAATATAATTTGCCAGTATTTTTACGTTTTCACAGAACGTATTATGCGATAATTTGAATATTACGATTTGTTACGTATGTGTTGATATTTACGCCAAACACGATTCCGGTTTTATATTTCATTGATATTTACGTTTGTCAATGAAATGAGCATGCATAATTTACCATCGTACGTCGCATGGTTTTACCATGACAACAATTATGACAGGACATGAATAGAATTTTAAAGCACTTTTGTCTATATGTTTGCACATGTTTTTAATCGGTATAATAAATATATCGTGACGATAAAACCGTCAATGTCGTGTCGACTTACGGTAAATTATTCAAGTAAATGAATGGATGTTTTCCGAAGGAGTCTTTAAAATTTACAGTATATTTTAAACTATTATAATATCCTATTAAAAGAGAAAGAAACTTGTGTACGTCCATGGTATCGTTGTGGAAAATTGAAAATGTATACATTTGCCGTTATAAAATATCTCCCTCAGACGGATTAGCAATCGCAGTTAGGCTTTGGTGATGTTTTAAGAGGGTCGCTGCTGCCCATCCCTCGACCAATAAGTTCCCTTAATATATGTATATTATATATGTTATATAGTATGTTAGTCTAGAACCCTTATTGCTAGCAATACATCAGGTAGACTTTTACGCGTTTCTCTCTGCAAACTATCGTGATTATTTCGCGATGAATTCATCATGATGAGATAAATAACCTCACATCATTCTCACCTATTATCCTCGCAGGTGCTCCGTCAGCGTAAACCTACCAATAGGCATGGTTTCAGTTCCACCATCTTCCATTACAAAAAACATTACACTTTCTTTTTTGGACAGTCATGTACAAATGTCTACAACATTCTGACTCGGTATCTTGCTACCAAGCAATAATTATTATGTAAATAGCTTATATACATATGTAATTGTCATTACTGTATTTATAATCTTTTGCGAAAGTCTTAGTCCAAATAGGCGACGTGCTGAAGAAGGGACAAATTAAAAGTACCCGTAACCGGCGAGCGTGTATGACAAGATTGATGAATGTGGAAGAAGCGAAAGAGGTTTGTTTGAATCGAAGCATTTGGCGTTCCATTGCTTCTGCCTACCCTAATGGGAGACAGGCGTGACAGATATGTATGTATGTATGTATGCGAAAGTCTTATATAATAGGCTTGTAATTTTTTAGGTTTGAATTGAAAAAGATAAAAATTTAATTTTATAAGAACTATTTCATAAAAAGCATAATACATATCTATTTGTAGTGCTTATAGTCGGAATCTTAGACGGATTAGATTGAAAACAGTTGGCCTTGATTCTAAAACGTTTTCTAAACCTAACTCAATAAATCATGATTTGTAGATGTAATAGTGATTAGGACTTAGATGAAGAAATATCTCACCAGCGTTTGGATCTGAAATATCATGTAGGTTTATCCTTACTAATAACATAAATGTGAAAGTGAGTTTGTTTGTTTCTTTATCTTATAGCGTCTTAAATAGCTCAATTAATTACTGTGAAATTTTGTATACACGTGTATGGGATGGACTAGATATAGGCTACGTTTTATCCTGGTCAGTAAATATGTCCTGGTCACGCGGAGGAAGTCACGGGTTAAAGCTAGTACATAATAAATTACAATATTTTTTTTATATTTGTCATACTTATTTAGTAGATAATTTTACTATTTTTTATTGAAATCATTTAAAAATAAGGAAGAACGAGAAATAATAATATTCAACAATAAAATAAATTAATATAAAAACCTTTCAATTTCAATGTTTGTTAATTGTATGCATTGTTATTAGTCAAGTAATGTATATATTTAATATAGCCCTTTTGAAGAACCTCATACTGTAGTCTCTAGAGAAAACTTCGGCAGGGAGCTTATTCTACAATCTGAGTGTTCGCGGAACAAAATTCCTTTGAAACTGCACTGTACGTGACCATTTAGGTTAAAGCGTATGAGGACGAATTCCCTGTCGATGGCGAGCAGTGCGATGGTAAAAGGTGGCTGAAGGCATCATTTTATCTAATATCTATCTTATGTCAATTAACTTATATATGTAATTACTTTTGTATTATTATAAAAAAATTTGGTAAGCACGCGTAATTATGATCACTATAAGAAATGAAAAAAGATATTTTTTTAACTAAATTTATTCCCAAAACTATTCTTTTAGAAATCCTACAGTAATGATCAAGACCAGTTCCAATACTGTTTTTTTTTTCAGACATCCGTAACTCAGTTACAAGACAAGGTTATATAGATATAACTCATAATACTCAGTATTTAGTCAGTTGGTGTGAATAAAATGGTAACAAATAATTACACAGCTCCTAACATTTCAAACTTCATAAATATTTAAATACTAACACAAAATATAAATATATAACATTACATTAAACACTACAATATTTTTACATTCAATTTAATCGCTTAGGAAATAAAAATAGATCACAATATCATGTTTTAATAAATATTACTGTAGACAATGGCACATATAACGATATATTTGGCAATGAAAATGTACGATGGGAACTGAGGCAGTCACATGAAAGTTGAATAATATCTATTATGTATAAAGTATACTTAAAATATTTGATTAAATCATATAATACCCACTTGCCATCGTACTGCCCAAACTCACATTTCTAAAGCTACACATCCTACTGGTTTATAGTTCAACGTATAAATTGTTCATAATATTGTATAGACATTAATAAAAACCGGCTATTGTTTTGGATAATGAGGTAATCAACTACTCAACTACCAACATTAAGCAGGAAGATTGTAAAGGAAGTTAAGCTTAAAATATCTAGGTATAATCTAATGATATGGCTGCGATCGTTAAATTCGACTAGCAGATACCTCCAAGCCCTTATTCTGTCGAGAAATAATAGTAGCTAAAATATAAAGGGTATATTTCGAAATGAATCCGTATGCTAATGAGCCAAGTTCGCCTCGTGATATTTCCAAAGTTCCTTCACAACTGCTTTCATACTTCTATACTCTTGTCTTTATCTCATGTTTATAAAAGTTTATTTGCTATCAATATGCACGAGATATCAAGTTGAAAACATTGTTCTTAAAATCCTAATTATTTACTTGTAAGGTACATTTCATACGCGCTTTATAATGCTTAGAAGTCTTACCAAATTTTGAAATCGAATTTGGTCTTACGGCTACGCTGACTAGTAGAATAACAAATTATTCGATCACAACACATCACATGGTATCTATGTACCCAGATTGTTTTACAATATAGGTTTATAATAAGTATACAATATAAAATTCAATGTACTGCAATATACTGAAACCGAACGTACCTTGCAGACTTGTTACAGTAATAAGTAATATAATTTGGCATAATTTTATATCAAAACAGATGGCCCACGTAGTCACTTCGAAAATACATTACATATATTCTATAAATTTATTAAAAAATAATTTCAAAATACAGTAGAAATATGTAAGTACAATACAAGAAATTAATCCTATAAGGGGATAATCGACTACCGCTATTTATTTTATATTTTTACATTTATCGCTACCTATTTGTTACATGATTATCTTTAAAGTTTTTCATTTATCTACATAATTAATGAACAATTATTACAAATTTTCAGAAAATACAGTACAGAATTTTTAAATTAACCATTTGTTAGTTTCATTAATTTTAACAACCAATTATATTAACTATTGAGTAAATGAAATCAAATTTTAACTTAGTGTAGTGTTAAATAAGAAAGCAAATATTATTTAAATCTCCAGATGCCAGAGAAAGTTATTCATTTAGTTAGATAGTTATAATATTATCTTTTTCCCGTAATATGCTCGACATATTTACGTTCATAATATTTATTGCCCTCCACTGTTTCATAAGCGCCATACTCAACCGGTGCTTCAGCTGATTCATTCATTAACACCATGCCGATCGCTACCAACCTTAATCGCGTACAAATACAAATTCGTTGTAGTGGTTCCAACGGTTTTCTTCCGTGTCCACTCCGGGCTTCAGTTCAGCCGCACCAGCAGTGCCGCTGCCACAACTCGCTGATAGTTTGAAACCATTCTCTTGCAACATGTCAAACGCCTGCTCGATGAACGAGTGCTTCAAGAAAAACCGGGAAGTGTACCGGTCCGCGAGACCATGGTCTGGATCCCGAGACTCGTTCAATGTTTCGCCGAAAACATCGCGGCATAGTGTCACTTTACCGCAGACTAAAATACGCGACAGCTTACGGAATTTCACGTCAGCAAGCCCGTCACGGCCAAATTGAAAACTGCCCCGGTAACCGACTGTGATGCATCCCCGTTCACGGTTCGGGGGCCGAGGATCCGACTCCCGGACCGCGTTCTCGAGGCCGACCAGCCTGTAGTGTTTCGCTTCCCTCGCAAGTCGCTTATGTTCACGGAAACATTCCGGAAGAACGAGTCCGCCATCCCTGAGATAATCCAAGACATATCTAAAAAGAACGCCGTCACGGTCAAAAAATATGCGCCCGCGGGCGTCACGCGGATGATCAGGATCGCGCAGCGCGGCGGCGGGAAGCGAGTCTGGTTCGCGGAGCAGAGTGTCGCGTGTAGTGGCGTAGTGCACGCCGCCCACGTTGAGCTCGAGGACCTCGGGCGGAGCGTCCGCCATGGCTAGAGGTTGAGGGCGCAGTGAGTCGGCGACTGCGCTATCCTCGCTCCCTCCCTGACCCACTTACCGCGCGTCTCAGCGCCGCCGCGCGGGCCCATCAATAACGCACGCCCGGGTTACTGACTCGAACGTAATTATTTCCTACCCTTTCGAGCGAAAACTCCTCCGTAAAAGCCTTCAAGGTCGACATCTATTGTTAGCTAACAGATGGTATTTGTATTATTCCCTAATATTATAATATTTGAGTGGTTTCCTTTACATCCTTATTAAATTATTTCATGTGGCGAAATTACTTAAAGATATTTCCGCAAAACTATTTACATTACCACCTCTAGTAAAGCAAGAAGTAAATAAACATGTGGTAACACTTTCATGGCCGCATAATTATTTCTGAAACGTTGCGGTTGATAGTCGAAAAAAGAACCAATGGTACTCTCTTAAACAGCTATGCACTGTTGTTAGTAGATTTCTATAGAAAAGTACTTATACCTATCGAAGACCAAAGTTTATAATTTGTCGATTTTAATATCGCCTCCAATGAAAACTTTGTTGAAAACTTGATTGGATGTTTTGCAAAGTTGTCTGGCAAAGTAGAAGTTAATGATGAAATATAGGAGTGAAGAGGTAACTTTAATGTGTTATGTTTACAGTTTCCATGAATAAATAGTATAAAAAATAACAAATTGTAATATTGATTGTTAACTTACCCTTATATGTGGAAAATAAATGAATATGCTTAAGCATATCTTTGCGTATAGATTTTAAAGTAACTAAAATATGCTATTAGTTAATTTTAAGATCGTCTTTTTCATGTTTTAGTATCCAGTTCCCTTAGTTTTAGAACACGAATAGAAAAATAGTATTTATTCGTGTATTAAGTTTTAAGCTTGTTCAGCTCTTTAAGCATGATCGAGTAACAAACATTAATGCGATTAGAATAATTACAAGTTAAATTTATAAGTTAAATACATTAACACCTCATTCGAGGTTCCATCTGCTTTGTCTGTTTATTCAGTACTTTAGTGTGCTTGTAACTACTACTATTGGGAATCATCCAATTTAAAACGTCGCCGGAGAAAGTAAGTAGGTACTTTATCTAGAAACAATTAGATAATATATGAAAGTTTTTGTAAAATACTTATAGGCAAGCTTATATTTTCGTTGGTTTGCTGTGTGGTCTCGGCATAGAATAAAAGAGGGCGAGGGATGGGCAGCAGCGTCCCTCTTAAAACATCTCTAAAAACTTAACTGCAGTTGCCAACCCGCCTGCCAAGCGTGGCAACTATTGGCAAAACTCCTCTTACGGGAAGGCTTATGTTCAGCAGTGGACACTTAATGACTGAAATAATAATAATAAGCCTGTGTTTCGGTTTGAAGTGTGGGATGTGGCAGTCAAATTACAGGGTACGGAGGCATGGTACTATCATGCAGTGCTATTCCTGAAACACTCAAAAATCCTCAGGAATGGCAATGCATGACGGTACCATGGACATATATTCTGTGATATCCTTGGTACTTGTTTGTCTACAGACCACCATTTTTATTTTCTATTTGGGGCGCGTCAGCTTGCCATATTAAGTATCATAAAAATGGTTTTCAACAATTCCTAACTGCTAATCTCTAGATGATATAATGGTCAGTGTCGCATATTATCTGTACCTATTAGTTTCTTAATCCGTCATTATCTTGGAAGGTTGCAGTGCTCAATGTGAAAGTGCGAAGCGGTTTATCATTAGGAATCAGTTTAAACAAATTCGTTGAAAATAATAAATTTAATATATCCCAAGGTTGTAAGCGACATTACGAGTAGAACTTTAAATTGTACCTTTGAGCCTCATATAACTTCTTCGAGTACGTAAAAATATATGCAATAAATTCATTTGGTAACTGTTGGCCTGTTCTTCGTTCAGAAAGTTGCTACAGCTAAGTACACATTGGGGACTTTTCGGAGATCTCATGTAGAATTCGCTGACAGACTAAAAGACATTCAGTATTAAGTAATTTAAGTTGGTAGCTCACCTGACGGAAAATTGTAACAGAGAGGAGATACAAAAATGTATGTGTAAGTTCTGAAAGAAGTAAAAATGGTACTAACTTCTGGAATAACACCTAATAAGGAAATAGTTTTAAATAAACAGTTAAGTCCATTATGAAACTCCGCTCTCAATCTCTAAAATTAGAATTTCTATTTGATATTACAGCGAAATTATTATAGAATAAGATAAACAAATGTACAGTTGTATTGAGTCAGAACTATTTACATTTAGTTGTCGATGGCCAGTAACATAATATTTTCGTTAAACTACCAAATACATTTTAAATTTAGAAATAAGTTTAGCAATTGGCGCCTTAAAATAGATCTCAGTAAATAATTTTATTTAGCTCACAATCGGTTGGACCGATCTGCAGTTGTCAATAGGCAAGTTGGTCAGGCAACTTCATGAGAAGAGAGATCGGGCGGACTGATCGGCACTCAACTATGTCATATCGTGTCATCGCCGCTTTGATGTGAAACGTCGGGAGACAGTACAGTAAATAGTAAATATATAAGTCTATTATGTAGGCACGTATTTTTACATTATATATTTACTACCAGTTGAAAAATTTCTAATCAACTCTATGTTTTTGGACGTAAGTTAGTTGATACCTGACTTTAAGCCAGGTCTGGAAATATGAATTATTAATGAGATAGTAAGAAACGCCACTGCACTTAATTTGTGGCCGTAGCCCATTTACACATAAACGATATATAGCATTTGGAAAACATATTCTATATCCTGAGGAGATAAAAAATATTGCTACAAAAACATCTTAAAATTAATATCATTGATAGGAATTACCAGCGAACTTTATAAAGGGGCGAGCCCAAAAGACCACGAAGAGGTCGCAGTGTTATAGGTTTTCTATTTGAAAATACCAGTTTTTCAATAATAATAAAAAAAATTATAGTAAAGTAGAGAATTTCCTTGTAGCACAAAATCATACTAAATGTCATGACGTTTAGTCAAGCCGTTAAGGCGCTAAGAGATATATAAACTCACATTCATATTAATAAGGATATAAACCCTCAAGCATACGTTACGTAAAACACCTTCCTATAACATCAGAGAATACGAAACAATAGCACACAATACCACCTAAGCCATGATCAAAAACTTGAGGATAAATGCCTAAATGGATTTGCTCGGCTTTGTAAATGTTTTCAAGGAGAGGGGGTGGAAGTGGCGAGGCCCTGATATACGCCGACCTCGCGTGTTCCGCACAGATAGGAGCGGACAGTTGTACAAGCTCTTGCACACATCTATTCCCGGGGTAATAATACCTTACCCTAACACTGCTATCTTTCCGTACCCCGAGAGGTAAAAACCGAAACTTATGGCCTGCACAGACGAGGGGCATTTTTGCGTGAACAAAATTTTTCCATTTACACCCTGAGCAGACGATGGGCATTTTTATTGTTAAAAGTTTCGTAAGTACACACATTTCAACTGTAATGGCGTTTTGTGTGCGGACAAAATTTCCATTTGTATAAGCCGTGTATTTGTACAACACGTGTGCGTTGTTGCATGCAATTTTAGGTGTTTTATTATGACAGGACTAAAATTTACGTCGAGGATTTTCTCTCGTCGTATTTAAAAAAGCGTGGGGAGGCGATATAAAGATCTTTCTTTTTCCTTTTTCAGGATTTTTCTTTTGCAGGCATAATACTACTGCTTTAAATACAATAGTAAACTACCAATAAATATAACTTGGGACACTGAGAAGATAACATCACCTAAGACAGTGAATTACGAGAGGATGGAGATTGGAGGCGACCTCAGAATCTAAAGTATGTAAGATATTTTTAACTTAGTACGTACGAGTAATACGTTATAATAAGTCTATGCTCTTGAATAAAAGTGCTATTTCTTCAACTTCTCTATTTTTCTTTAAGTCAGTATAAATTTAAGACTAGTCATAAAAAAAAACTCTAATATATACATCTATATAATTAATACGAGAAGCAAAAACTTTGTACTTCTTTTTACGAAAATTGGGCGGACGGAGGACTATAAAATTTGGAACACTTTCTAGTTTATATACAGAATGCTAATATTTTTTTAAATTTATGCGTATAAAAAACATTAAATCGATAAAAAAAATTACACACACTACCATGAATTTATACACACACACATATTTACTCTTTTGTTTATTGTTCAAGTCTGTGGTCAAATTGAGAATAGATTAATATTGTTTGTCTTTGATATTAGTTGTCTATAGTCTTACTGAATGTCAAACGTAACCATAATAAATTCATTGTCAAATTTCGACCACTGCGCGACCACTAGTATGTATAGTTATGCAATTATATGACAACACAATTATCAAAAGTAATCCGCAGAGAAATATTCAAATCTCCTAATGAAGTTGGAAGGACCTTTCAGGCCCTTATATACGGTATCCGAGCGAAGAGGAGGCGGGTCGGTAGTTTGTTTGTTAAAGATTCTAGGGTTCTTTATATTATGCCTGTGTGTAATGTCAGGATTGGAGGTACACAATAAATATTATAAAGATTTAGTCACTTACCATCAGGTGAGCCGCATGCTCGTTTGCCCCCTGTGTTGTAAAAAAAAAAAAAAAAAAATAAAGACCTTAAAAATCTCGTTCACAGTAGTATCGATCGGGAAAAGCGAGCTTACTATAATTATCATATAAACTCTCAACAAAGTAATGGTAAAATATTCTGGAAAAAGTTAAAGGAAAATATTTCCGTGGACTCCCCTAAAAGTGATATACTACCGTCCTTTTTCAATAACTCCGACAACATTAATGCACATTTTTTAAATGTACCTGGACCGAATAATGTGTCTTTATCAAAACTCACTTACTATGAGTTTCATAGGTATGGTACAGCTGGTTTTCGATTGCAGCCGGTGTCAGAGAGTGATGTTGCTAGGTATATCTCGGCAATAAAATCTAATGCATTGGGTAGTGATCGGGTGAGTAGAGACATGATACTATTGACTCTTCCTCGTACACTAGCAATTATAACCAACATAATTAATAAATCTATTGTTACGTCTAAAGTTCCTAGTCAATGGAAACATGCATTGGTTACTCCTTTATCCAA